TGAATTCAATAAACAATAAGTTCATTAAGAGACTTACGTTTTAGACGCCATATTGCTTGTTTTTGCTCTATTTCGCCAACAAAAATCATTCCGAATACAGCCACAGCGCTGTTTTGTGTCTCTGAGCAACATGACGGTGTTTCGTTCTTGAATGAATCAACCGTTTAAATTATTTGGTTCAATCGCAATGACTCACTTATTTACAGTGATTTGCTGCCACCTGCTGGCGGTTTTCATTTCACATTTCGGCTTTTTCTTTCTTTTCTTTTTTTTTTTGTGATTTTTTTCATGTTTTAAATCATTTCAAATATCAGTATTCAACGTTTTATGTTTAATATATCAAAACATTATTTATGCATTTGCAATTGCAGGTTAAATGCATTCATGTCTTGCATTAAACAAAATACATGTGTGTAAATACATCTAAATGCCACTTCAGATGCAGCTTCTGTGTTGATTTAGCAGACTGCGCTTGTCGGAAGGAGGGACTTTGTAGAAAACGAAGCGTTTGAGAGAGGCGGGGCATAGAGGACCTACAATAATGTACAGTATTTGAAAAATAATCTGTTTTTTGAACATTAAAGCATGTCAACATATTCTGTTACACCAAATACACAAAATAATGATCTTTAAAAAAGCATCATATGACCCCTTTAAAACCCAAACCAAGCCATTTACACAACGCATATTCAGCAGCGCATTTTTTAGACGGACAAATATGACTGCTGCACTCGCGTCTCACACAAGGGATGCAGCCATGAAAAGTTAAAACAGTTTAAACTTTTAGAAAACACGTCGCGAATTTGTGGAGGTTTATTCCTTTTCACTGTGTCTCTTATGTTTTTAAATGCAATCTGCATGATGGGCGATTTGGCTCTTTGTATTAAGCAATATATAAATACATGATACTGTTTTGTTCATAATTGTTTATGCAATTTACGAAATTATATTAGATTTATATGAGTTAATTTAGACGTAATGCACGTTTTTTGAATAGACGGTTATTTCCATGCGTTGACATTATGTGCTGCATTATTTTGCTCATTGCGCCCTCCTGTGGCTTCGGGAGACAAGCCAAAAGTTTCCTTAAAACCTATTTAATCTGCATATAAAACATTAGAAATTAGATATTTGTTTAAGTTTTATTGTGTGTTTGACTGTTAAAGCAAAAAAATATTTGTTGTTTGTCTCAATAAATTGGGTTAATTTATAAATACAGTGGTTAAATTAAAAAAAAAAATTCTATTGCTCTTTGTTTTAAAAAAGGTTATAAAACATTTCAATAATTATCGATACTGAGCGATATGAAACATTATATCGTTGATAAATGTTTTAGCTATATCGCCCAGCCCTAGCGCAGTTTATGCTATAATACCTTGAGTCGTGCAATATCATAGACCAACCTTACCACACTAGCAGACAGTAGCAATGTAATCACCCGGAATACCCAAGTAATGGCACAGAAACATGGTAAAACCACTCAGAACACCTTAGCAAAAGGCATAGCAAAGGTCTGTTAAACACCATAATATCCTAGAATCATGGCGGTGAGTTTTGCATAGACAAGCACTCTCTAATATCGCTTATTTTCATAATCAGACCTTATACACAGTGCTGAGGTATGAACAATTTGTTCAATGGAAATTAAAAGGTTAGTGACCGTTCGCCTCTAGGGATTGCTAGCTGGCAAAGGGACCTAATGAAAGAGGATTTGTTACTTAGAACACGAAAAGCCAATTAATCCTCACACAGAATATGTTAAAGAGCATAGCTTATGTTTTTAAAAGGGAATCAATTATTTAGCCTCGCCGTTTGAGAGCCTTTTATGTGGATCTCAATGCAGAGCCCCAAAGCATGCATGTGTTTGTCAGGTTTGAGTGCTGCTTTCAAGGAGGATTTAATGTCATTGGAACAAAGCTGTGCTCCTGGCCTGGCGACATTGCATTCAGTTACTGTGCCATTACCATGGTTCACCCCTTACCTCCGTCACGGAAACGTGGAGAGCAGACAGTAAACCATGCCAGAATGTTTTACTGCAAACATAGCTATCACAATCCTGTCCGACTCCTCAGTGTAAAAGCCTACAGTCCCACTGGTTGGATTAATAGAATTCGTGCACACTGGTCATAATTAGATACATGTGAGCTCAAAACACCCCTGAGCATTTGCAAAGTAAATGTTTTCTCCACCGCAAGACAGGCCATGATATGTCTTGCATTTTATTATTATATTTTATTAGCAGCAATGTCAGAGTTCGTGATTAGATGCTTTGAAATGATGCAAAAA